TATATTAAAAAAGAAAAGTTGGGGGGGCGGCTATTTTATATCCATGATTGTGATTGGTTCCCTGTTTCTCCCCACCCCTTCTCCGTACCCTCATGGTATCGCTACTCCCATTACGTATCATGAGGGGTTTATCTGTCCTGGATTCAGTGTGTCAAGAGTTCTTACCTGTACCGGTATACATGCTATGGTTTAGCCAGATTTGTAAGGTAGAGCTGGGGTCATGATAGTTGGGGGGTCAGGGGGAAGCATTAAAGAACTAGAGGAATGTTGTGTTTTTCATTGGTGCTATGCTGCACCCTGGACGACTGGTTCCTTCCTTGTGACCCTTCTGTGAGGGAATGTCCAGCTGTCTACTGATGGGCTTTAGGTCTTCACTCCAACCCCCATCATTCGCCTTCATATAATTGTTTGTTTTTGGGTCTTCTGATGCCTGATACCTGATCCCGTCGACTATGGAAAGTTTTAAGGCAGTGCTGAGAATTGTTTACCAAGTAAGCCCCCAGGTCACAGTCAAATGCCATCAGTCCTAGATCTGCTGTGTTAACTCCTGTCTCTTAGGCATATAGAAAAATCTATACCTAGGGAATGGGAGCTCTCACTAATAGCTTTGACAATAGACATATTTCCTTGACTTCCAAGTTGTGAGATAAAAATACTTATTTTTGTATTTTCTAGGTACTCAAAGGTTATTTTAAATGTGCAAGGTGAATAAATCTGTCTTAGAAACTTTGCAAATTGATTATTTTATTTTTATCTTATCTTCACTTAGGCTGAGAATAAACTTACCATGTGCCTAAATATTTATTACAAACATATTTTCCAGTATTGGTTATAACCATTCATAATATGTAAGGACTTCTCTATATTAATGAGCATCCCTCCTTTCATTTTAGTTTTACATTGTGAAGGAAAACAGAGGGAATGAAGGCACGTGTGTCGGTGTTTCCCGCTGGCCAGTCCATGACTTTAACCACCGCACTACCTCGGATATGTGGCTGTACAGGGCCTACAGTGGGAACCTCTACCATAATGGAGAGCAGACTCTGACACTGTCCAGCTTTACTCAAGGGGATTTCATCACCTGTGTGTTAGACATGGAGGCCAGGACCATTTCCTTTGGGAAAAATGGAGAGGTACGGAAACCATTCACAAGAGTTCTGTATTTCCTTGTTCTTTATGTACAGTTATTCAAGTGCTGGTTACTCAGTTTGTGGACTAGTCATTCTCCTCTAACTATTCTCTAATCCCTGTTGGTTCTGACAGCTTGTGTCAGCACCAGGCAAGTGGCAGAAAGGAAGAGTAAAATCTTAGTAAGACTGTTGAAATGGGATGAAAAGATTTAGGATCTTTCTTTGGAATTTGCCTGGTTAGCAAGTCTCATTGAAATGCACCAACTTTTTTCTTTTTTAAATCATTTTATTAGGAACTCTTATAGATATTATAACATTCCATGGTTCAATTAGATCAAGCATAATTGTACATTTGCTACCACAATCAGTTTCCAAACATTTTCTTTCTTCTTGAACTCTTCAACTAAAGCTCCCCTTTATCTCCCCCCTCCCCACTAAGAACTCATTATTTTTGTTATATATTGTCATTATTAAGTTTTTTTGGGGTATGTCTCACCCCATCCAATACATCCATTCACCTACAATTCTGTTATTTGCTCTCTCAAGTGGGTTTTACAGTTGTCCTTGCTCTCAGCTGCCCTCCCCCCACTTCCCATATCCTCAGGGAATCATTACTGGGAATGGGAACCAGTAATGGGAATACATTACTGTTTCTGAAGGGTTATCTGTTGGATTTCGTGCATTGAATGATCTTAATTATACAAATGAGCATATGGAGGTCTAGTAAGATTTATGAGGTAAAACAAAGACCACAATAGAAGTGGGATGAAATATTACAGAACAGGAGGATAGTTAAGTATTTCATCAATGCTATACTGCACACTGAATTTATTACCCTTTCTGTGTGGCCCTTCTGTGAGGGGCTGCCCAATTATCTTACAGGTGGGTGTGTTGGGTCTGCACTTGGTCCACACTCCTCCTCAATTTCATTGCTTATTTTTGAACTTCTGAAACCTATTGCCATCGACTCCTCATGATCACACAGGCGGGTGTGATATGTGGTCACTTGTTTGATCCCAAGCCACTAAGACCCAAGATGCTCTGTCTTTTAATAGCCAGGCATCCTCAGCTTTCTTCACTACAGATGCTTATACACCCATTTTGTCGTCAGCAATTGTTTAGGGATGGTGGGTGTCATGCAATGCCACATTATTAGAACAAGCTGTTCTTGTACTGAAGTAAGATTTAAGTGGAGACCCAAAGTTCATCTGCTTCCTTGTCGTATTTACATATGTAGATAGATACACCTATATTTATGTGTTTCTGTTCATACATATCTATGTTTATACCTATATATGTAATTTTTACCCTTTTTTCTTTCCTCCTGCACCACTATCATATTTATCCATCATTGACCTTTCCGGTAATTCCACTTAGATACATTTCAATAGAAATATATCAAACACTACCAGGAACAGTACATGCTCCTCACCTTCAATTTTAGAACCCTTGCTCTTCCCCTTTCCCTGTCGTTATTGGCTCACCACCCCCCCCCCTTCCTGTGTGGTCCTTGTTGGGCCCCCCTCCCATCCCCCCACCCCCACCCCATTGGTCCTGGCACGTTCTCCTTGGGCTTGCTTATCCTGCCACAGAGAGAAACTACAAAAAAAAAAAAGAAAAAGATAAGACCATACAAATAGTTCCAAATCTAACTGGTATCCTGACCCAGAGTAGATGAGTATCTCTGTAAAATAGTGAGCAGGCCCTGTTATAATCCATTAGCCCAATCTCTTTTTCTTTCAGGGCTCCATATCCCAAAACCCACTTACCTAACAGCATTTATACCCTTTTAGTTCTCAGCATTCACGTCTGAAAGGCATGGAGATGCACTAACTTTTACTCTGTCTCATAAAAGCCTGGAATTTACTATTGTTGGACATTAGTAATTTTTAAAAATATTTTTGTGTTTTTTCCTTTTCATCACTCCTGCCATGCTCTAGGAACCCAAATTAGCCTTTGAAGATGTGGATGCAGCAGAGTTGTACCCTTGTGTGATGTTCTATAGTAGCAACCCTGGAGAGAAGGTAATGGAGCCTCCAACCTTTCTACTTAAACATAAAGGGTATTTGCTATTCTTAATTAGTGTTTGTTAACATCTGTTAGAACCTGCAGTATAATTAACTCTTTATACCATTAAAATAGCTGATACTGATAATTTACTTTTCTAGAAGATGGTTAGATATTTTCAATAAAGCATTACTTAATATTCTGGCTTTTTAAATAATAGTAAGTCAACTTTTAAGTATATATATTACAGAAATTATAGAAAGTAGCTTGGGAAAAAAAGGAAAGTAGCTTAGGGATAATTTGGTTCATTGATAGTTATGCCCTGGGAGAGAAATCTAAAAATCATCCTAAATGTTAAACCCCAAACCACACCAAACTCACTGTGATTAAGTCAATTCTAACTCATAGCAAGGGGTAGGACTGCCCCAGTGAGTTTCTGAGACGGTAACTTTTTACAGGAATAGAAAGCTTCGCCTTTCTCCACAAATGTTTAAAGATGCCATTAGTTGACTAGTGCAGTCCAAACTTGTTCTAGACACCAGACGGCTACAATTTCTGGCCTGTCTGTAACAGTTACTCGCTCCATGTTGGAGTCACTTGATGACAGACAGACAGTACACTTGTTTGTATTAGGAGTGCAAACAGTAGTTCAACATGTGCTAAAATTTGAAATGACTGATATTTTAGGAAGGAGCCCCTGGTGGTGTAAGTTAAGTGCTCAGCTAGTAATTGAAAGCTTGGCCATTCTGACCTGTACACAGGGTCTGCAGTAGATTAACCAGGCAAGCTGCTGCCATAAGGGTTTCAGTTTAGGGAACCCAGAAGGGCAGTTTTACTCGCACGCTGGGTTGCTGTGAGTCGGAATCCACCCAGTGGCACCCAACAACTGCAACATTTGAGGAGAACTATTCACATTATACATTTTCCCCTCTTTCCTTTATACAGGTGAAAATTTGTGACATGCAGATGCGTGGCACACCACGAGACTTACTTCCGGGAGATCCCATTTGTAGTCCAGTAGCTGCAGTGCTAGCTGAGGCCACCATTCAGCTTATCCGGATCCTTCACCGAACAGACCGTTGGACTTATTGCATTAACAAAAAGATGATAGAGCGGTTGCACAAAATTAAGCTATGTATCAAGGAATCAGGGCAGAAACTAAAGAAAAGCCGCTCTGTTCAGAGCCGAGAGGAAAATGAAAGAGAGGAGAAAGAGATCAAAGAGGAGGATAAGGGTAAACACAATAGACATGGCCTTGCTGACCTCTCAGAAGCACAGCTGAGGGTGCTTTGCATAGAGGTGTGGCCCGTACTGGCAGTGATAGGAGGAGTTGATGCTGGTCTCAGAGTTGGAGGTCGGTGTGTTCACAAGCAAACTGGGCGCCATGCCACACTGCTGGGAGTGGTCAAAGAGGGCAGCACATCTGCCAAAGTCCAATGGGATGAAGCAGAAATTACCATCAGGTATGACCTGTTGAGTTACACTGTTGGCTAAATGAGTAGCTACTGGAGAAATGGGCCATTGGCTATGGAGAGAGAATAATTAGCATTTTAAGTGAGCTAACAGTTCACTTTTTGTTCCATAAAGTTAAATATTGATCTGTAACAAAGGAATATTTCCCAAACTTACACACCTTGGAATACTTTTTATAAATGATGGGTACTTTTTGGTTTAGTTTGGTAGAAGAATGGTAAGCTCACTAATTTAGGCTTAACTGGGACTCTTTCCAGTTTTCTTTTGGCTTCTTTCTTCTTTAAATCATTTCCATTATATACTGGGATTAAAAAAAACAGCCAGAAATTCCATACCAGCTGTTACATTTTATGTTAAAAGGGCTTACATGTTAAGGGAAAACATTTACACCACTAAAGCTAAATTTAAGATTGCCTGTGATTTTAAGCATTGCTGTGCGTTTTTAAGGCACATAGTTCAATTCTCTCAATATGTAACATCTCAAGTAGATATGAAAATTTTATTTATTTGACACAAACTAAATGTTTAAAAGCATTCACGCATGTTTGCATTCAAATATAATTTGTATGAAAAAGAGTTCATGTTTAAAAGAAAATATGTTAAATATGTCCAGTGCTAAGGGGATTCACTTACCTAAGGATTCTGTACAACACTCCTACTTGAAAACATTGATTTATTGATATTGTGCAACTGTGCATAAAACTCCCTAATGTAGCTTCTACAGTGTTGACGTGAAACCATATCTGAAAGAGTAGTTCTTAGTGTGATTTTGGAGGCAGTGCTGTTTTAGAATCCAATGAAATCGATGGACCCTCTCCGTTGAAAAATACACCTACCTATCTTCACCCTCATCAAGCTAAGAAACCAAAGAAAAATTTTAGTTGCGTGAAAGTATGTACTACTTATTTTCTTCTCAGTGTTTTACACAGGATTTATGATGCCTTACCAAGATTTGTGTAATACGGCAAATTAGATACTTTAGTGAATGAAATTAAAATTAAAGCAAGTAAGAAAATGAGGCAAATTGAAAATAAGATTAGGAAGATAAAATGGAACCAGGATTTCAAGAGTGCAGCAAATGTGTGCCACAGAAATTACCTTGCTAAACTTTGTTAATGTTTGTGTAAGGGTAATGTTTTTAGGTTCTTGGAAACTTTTGTCACATTACAGGACTATATTTTTATTTGAACTCTAAATTAGAAGCCTTAATTGATGATTGTAAATTAAAATTTTTTAATGAAACAGTCTTTTCTGGATGGTTATAAATAGCCATTACCCACATAACAAACTGAATTTATTATACAGGTACTCCAGTAATAGAAATGTTTTACCTACTGGCCAAATCCAGCCCCACTCCTAGGTTTTATAAATGAAGTTACTCAGCCACACTCATTCATTTGGTGTCTCAGTGGCTGCTTTCATATCATAGTTAACAGAGACCATATGGCATGCAAAGTCTGAAATATTTACTACCCAGTTCCTTTATAATAAGTGTACCAACTCCTGGTTTACATTATGTAATAGTGAATATTCTTATTTGAAATCACATGCACATTTCATTGCTTGTGCATTTAGCATCACATCTCCCCATTTTCTCGCTTTAGACTTGTTTTTCCCTCTGTTTGTAATGACTTCTCTAGTTTGTGTAAATTATTTTCTGTACTGTGTACATGATACATCTTATTTTGTCTACATTATTTTCTGTACCTTCCTCTTGTCTATCCCTCACTTGCTTCTTCCTGTGTCATTCTGGTCTTTATTAAAGCTTCCCAACTTTTTGGTCGCCTAGTGATACTCCATTGTATAACCTGGAGCCCTGTGAACCACTGCTGTTTGACGTGGCGCGATTCCGAGGCCTGACCGCGTCTGTGCTACTGGACCTAACATACCTGACTGGCATTCACGAAGACACAGGAAAACAGAGCACCAAGCGACATGAAAAGAAACACCGGCATGAGTCTGAGGAAAAAGGAGAAGTTGAGCAGAAAGCTGAGAGTGACTCTACTTTAGATATGCGAACAGCCTTAACATTGGACGATGCCAAGAATCAGGGCACCACAAGCTCCAAATCAGAAAATGAAATCTCTTCATTTTCTTTAGATCCGACGCCACTAGGTTTGGAGCCTCAACATCAGATTACAGAAGGTAAAAGAAAAAGTCATGAACACATGTCCAAAAACCATGACATAGCTCAGTCAGAAATCAGAGCAGTCCAGCTGTCATATCTGTACCTTGGTGCAATGAAATCACTTAGTGCCCTTCTGGGCTGTAGCAAATATGCCGAACTGTTGCTGATCCCAAAAGTTCTGGCTGAGAATGGCCACAACTCAGATTGTGCGAGCTCTCCAGTGGTTCACGAAGATGTGGAGATGCGTGCAGCCCTGCAGTTCCTCATGCGACACATGGTGAAGCGGGCCGTCATGCGGTCGCCCATAAAGAGAGCGTTGGGACTAGCAGATTTGGAACGTGCACAAGCCATGATCTATAAATTAGTGGTCCATGGGCTTTTGGAAGACCAGTTTGGGGGCAAAATTAAGCAAGGTATGTAATGTATATTTATTTATTTATTTATTTATATATATATTTCTTTTGATTTTTGACCTGTTGAAATTAATAGTAATCACCAGAAATTATATACTCTATAACATATGCTGGACTTCACAAAGTTTGTGTAAAAACGGAATGAAAAGATGATGGAATCTTTTTAGGAAAATTTTGAAGCCCCTTTGTATCTCAAAAAAATTTTTTTTTGGCAGAGGGAAGGGTTGAAGCAATTATAGTATTTTTTCTTTACAAGGCGAAACTTCTTTTTCCTTGTATATTAGTAATCATCTCTCTCCATGATATTTTATTGCAACCCCACACAAGAGTTAGAACTTGATCCTTATTACTGCATGTTGTAAAATTGAAATTTAACTCATGCTGGAAAAGTTAACTCAGGTTTTACTGATTTTTCTTTTCCTCAAAAAACCATTTTATTAGGACATTATGTAGACGTTATACCATTCAGTAGTTCAGTCATATCAAGCAGTGTTGTGCAATCGCGACCACATCATTTTCAAAGCATTTTTCTTCTTTGTACTCCTTGATGTTGGCTCCCTATTACCCGCCCCCCACCCCCCTTAGGAACCCTTAATCTAGTTATTGCTTCTATAGATTCATCCAACTAGGTTTCATATACTAAAACATAGAAAGATACATAGTAGAGGGTCAAGAATGCTACTAACAAAAGATAAAAGCCCCAATCTGAAAACAAAATATTAATTTTAAATGAGTACCACATCATACTCCAAGTGTATCAAAAGGGAGATCAAATTACAAGATTTTAACTGTTCAAGTCAGGTTTATCAGCTTAGGTAGTTATTGATCTTGTTAAAAATAGAAGTTACTCTAGTCTCATACATTTTAAAGGGCATTTTAATTTTATAGTGCATATAAAACTATATACAGTATGTGTAAATATCTACATAGGTCATATAGAGGGTAAAAACCTTGTTTTATTTTTATTCTCACCTTTGGATCTGAATTTTGAAATTTATTCAGCAAATGTCTATTGAGTGAATACTATGAGTTAGGCAGTTGGCAGCAAGTACAAGAAAACAAAAGTCCTTTGCCTTTTTGACCCTATAAGCATCTTCTTGATTTCTTCCTTCTCTTCTTATTCTTACTCCCTTTAATTTCCTGTTCCTCCCTTTCATTCTTTCATCGTTGAGGTACTAAATAGTCACAGAGAGAGGCATGGTGCTTATAAGTCGTAGTGTTAAGATCATGATGTTGATGAAGAAATGTAGCCATTTAACAAGGGTAATGAAATTAATTGTCTTTGCAACAACTCCATATTTCATTATGCTTATTTGTAGGTTCCTTTACCAGATAGTGAAAAAACACATCTGTAAATGCTTTTTAAACGTTTAAACATTTGAACTAAATATTTCTCTCTCCTTTTTAAACTCTTAGTGGGGGGTAGTTTTTGAGGCATTGCTGCTGCTTTAGATTATGGGATTTTTGTTTTTATTCTTTTATCATTTATGTGTCTTTTAGTATTTATATATTCTTCATCTATAGATTCTCCGTCTATTAAGGACTGAGGGGAAAAAATATTGGAAATCAAAATCAGAGCTAAGGAAATACAATTTTTAATGATTGAGTATCTCTAGAGAATCTTTTGTAAAATTTTACAACCAAAAGCAAGGTTACTATTTTTGTGAAAGAACCTTCTCTAAAAAAAGAAATCACTAGTAATAAAGGCATGTTATGTCCTTGTGTGTAGGGTCCACACTAACAGTGTAATAGTGAATATAAGGATGTAAATTCATTTGTAAGCTTTTATTTTTCTATAAATTCTTCATTTTGAATATTTATAAGCATACACATTTTCCATCCCATAGCAAATCCCGGTTCTTTACCTTGTGTTATAGAGACTGAGCAACTAGCTGAAGAAAGTGACCAAGCCCAGCAGGCACAGACACCAGTTACCACTAGCCCATCAGCCTCGAGCACAACTTCCTTCATGAGCAGCTCCCTGGAGGACACCACAACTGCCACCACTCCAGTCACTGACACGGAAACGGTGCCTGCATCTGAATCCCCAGGAGTAATGCCACTTAGTCTTCTCAGGTAGAGAAATTGACCTCTATTGTCTGCCTAGAGATAGGAAGCATGCGATTGCTCTTTTATGGATGCATTGGGTTCCCAAATGAATCATTGCACTATAGAGCTAGAAGGAACCTAAGAGGATCTAAGAAATCAGATTTAAAAAGAAAAGAAAAGAAATCAGATAAAAAAAACTCACGGCCATCCAGTCAGTACCACTTATAGCAACTCTGTAGGACAGGGTAGAACTGCCCATGTGTTTCTGAGACACTAACCCTTTAACCAATGTGTAACCACTATGCAACCAGGTCTCCTGAGAAATCAGATAGTCATACTTATTTTCTGGAAGTTGAAAATGCCCACCAGAGAAATTTAGTAACTTGCCCTAAGTCTCATAGCTAGTTAGTGGTAGCCCCCACGTGTAAACAGCTCTGTTATTTATCAAATAGCTATCTTCTTGTGATTTTTTTTTCAATCTTCTTTAAAATGTGGCTAGACTTTTTAATCTCCTCAGAAAATAGTCTCTTTTCAAGTTATTTCTCATTTAAGCACAATTCCTTAACTATTCCTGTATTCTTATTATAAGATCAAGCAAATCTACTTTCTAAATGAAAGAGCATGTCATAAGATGCTCTTTCAAAATAGTCACCCTTATTTTGGTTTGTAAACTTCAAATAACAATTACTTTTAAAAATTTCTTTTCACTCCTATTTGCCTGGTGCATCTACAAAATGAAAGTCTTTTGAGGGAGGACCTTTAGAGAGGGACTTTTTTGTGAGCTCTCTTAATTGAGGCTTATGTGAAATAAAGGGAGACAGAATGGTAGCTTCCTTTTCCCCTTCCCTTAGTTGACAGATTCGTATTGTCTTCAGTGTCTGACTAAAGACCTTGTAGAGTAGCAGAGAAAAAAGTAGTTGTAGTTAGTCTCAATTTTTGTTTGTTTCTTTTGATCACTTTTTTTGAGGGCACTTAATTCTTATTACAGTCCATGCATCAATTTTATCAGGCATATTTGTACATATGTTGCCATCGTTCTTTTCTAGACAATTACTTTCTATTGAGCCCTTGTGCTCTCAAGTTTTGGTGTCTATACCATCTGAGGAGTTTCTTAAAGCTCTGGGCTATAGTGCCCAGCAAGTCGGATTCAGTAGGTCTGGTAAGCTTATTATGGTTTGTAATTTTCATTACGTTTTCAAGTGATTCTGATGCAGTAGGTAGCAGTAATTTCACACTTTGAAAACAAAACCATTGCTTTCCCCCTCTGGTCTTGGGTAGGAACACGTGAGTAGTAAGCATTCCCTGCTGGGAGGCCAGCCTCCAGGGGTCTTTGACTACCTTGCCTACTTCAGCTTTCTCCCTTGAGTAGCCCAGTTCCAGAAGGTGTCCTCTGTTCAGTTATGAGGAAGAGCAGAAGAATAGCATGTGATAATCCAGTTTTGTTGTAGTGGTTAAGTGCTTCACTACTGCCTAAAAGGTTGATGGTTCAAACCCATCTGCCACTCTGCAGGAGAAATATGGACAATCTTTCTGTGAAGATTTACAGCCTTGGAAACCATACAGGGTCACATTGATTCACAATCAGATCAACAACAATGGGGTTAGTTTTGGGCTTATCAGTGACAGAATTCCAGGCATCTACAAAGGATCAGTAGCAGTGTCGTCCTTCAATCAGATGAAGTAATGGCCCCTTTTGGTGCCTTTCTTCTCAGTCTTGGTTTCCCTGCTGCTGGTTGGAACTACATTAGGCCTTCAGATATCAGCCTGGCTGGGAGTCATTTAACAGAAGAAAAGCCCGTTGGAAAACTACTGCCCCTCATGTGAACACGATCATATCACAGTTATTTAGCAGTGATACCCCAAACAAACAAAACTCACTGCCATGGAATTAGCTCTGATTTATAGGGACCTTATAGGCCAGGGTAGAACTGCCCCTGTGGATTTCCAAGACTATAACTCTGTATGGGAGTAGAATAGCTTCATCTTTCTCCTGCACAGCAGCTCATGGTTTCAAACCGCTGACATTGTGGTTTGCAGCCTAACTTGTAACTCACTATTGTCACCAAGGCTTCACAGTGATACAGTGATTCTTAAAAGTTCTTCATTTTGGTGCGCATATCTAAAGAACAGCAAGGATTTTCTTGTGCTTTCTCCAGTCAGTCTTTGCCTTCTTAGCTTGAGAGAGGCTGCTTCTCCTGGACCTTCCTTCTTTCTGTGTACTATTCATGTATCTATTTCAATTGTGCGGGGCAACTTGCCTGGACACTGTCACTCTTAATCCATGAGAAGGTTTGCATGCCTAGCTCATTAATTGACATTTGAATGAACTACAGATTACCTAGTTTTAAAAGTCTACTTTTACTCTCTATTGTGTGATTACCAAAATACCCCTGCCTCTTATCTTAGTATTATAGGCAAGGCCTTTTATTAATTGCTTTGCTTTGCTTCCCTGTTTCTGGTGTTGCTCATATTTTGTTGAACACGTGATGATGATAAGGTTTTATTTCTTTTACAGTTAAAGCACTCTTAAGTTAATGGTTTTTAAAACCAAGGAATCTCCACCCCCCTTCATTAAATTATACCTAACTCATGTAATTTTTCAAGCTGCATACTGTTTAAAAGAAGATTGTGATATATATGTCATTTACTAATTGAATTTTTATGCTAACCAGTCTTATTTTCTTAAAGGCAAATGTTCTCTAGCTACCCAACCACCACTGTACTGCCCACACGTCGTGCGCAGACGCCTCCAATATCTTCATTACCAACATCTCCTTCTGATGAAGTAGGAAGGAGACAAAGCTTAACTTCTCCGGATTCCCAGTCAGCAAGGCCAGCCAACCGCACAGGTGTGTGTGCTCTCGTGCACTGTGACATCCAGACCTCTTAGCAGTCCCGATGTGGGGATGTTATGTGGATGCTTTGTCTTCACTGACGGCAGAACAGTGGTTTTAAGGAAGAGGAGGGGCTGTCCCATTGGACTGAACTGCTTTCTCCATTCTGCAGCTATAGACTAAAATATGACTATTTAGAAAGTAATTCATGTACTGTGTATCATTCATATTATACCATCTTCTTTCCTAATGTAGGCAGCCTCATTCTATAAATTTTCCTCTGTATACTGTTTATCTGCATGCCACAAATTTTGAAATGCTGTTTTAATTTTCATTCAATTTAAAGTATATTCTAATTTACCTTTGATACCCTCTTTGACATAGGGGTTATTTGGAAGTGTGTTACTTGGTTTACAAATACTTAGGGATTTTCCAGATATCGTTCTGTTGTTGATTTCTAATTTAATTTCCCTTTCACCGGCGAACATATTGTATATAATTTTGATTATTTTGAATGTATTGAAACTTGCTTTATGGCTCCCGAGTTTGCTCTGTTGTGATAAATGTTCACGTGCATCACTTTTGTGTTATTCCTGCCAATCATGAGGAAAACCGACAAACCCATAGTGAAGGTCATTCTGCAGACAGCTATCCTGTAACCTTCAGAGGATTAAAGTGATTAAAGGCTGCTGAAGCGACAGGCCCACTGAATGCAGAGATGATCCCAGATTTGGGTCCTTTTCTGTAGAGAGCATTATGGGCAGTATTTGGTGGAACTAGAATGGGATCTGGATTAGATGGTAATTTTCTGACTTTGGTGGTTGTATGAGAGGGCTTTAAAAAGTTTGTAGGAGGTAACTTCTTTTCATTCTATTTCCCCCCCACAAAATTTGTGAAGCCCCCTTGTATTTTTCTGCAGGAGGATGTTCTTTTTTGTTAGAGCCACATGCTAATTTCCTCTGAGGAGATGAAGCATCAGGTCTGCCACTTACTTTCACATGTCAGGAAGAAATGAGTACTCTGTGCCATCTTTGCAAATACGAGGATGTGTTAAACTCCAAAATCACAGATAGCTTTATTGAACAGAAATATTAAAATGTAAAGCTGTTATTACTACTTTTAAAGCTATTATTTCTTGACATATCTTCCACCAAGGTTGGTACACATCTGAAGGTGGTGTTTCCATCCCTGTAACTTTCCCCCCCAAAGTTTCTGTGTTCTTAAGTTTACACCAAGTCAAAATGACAGTTTTAGCATCTTCGAAGGATTGAAAGTATGTTCCTTTTGATGTTCTTTGAGTTTGGTGAACAAAAAGAAGTCTGGAGGGTCAAGTTCAAGGCTTCAGGGTAGATGAGGTGTTGTTTTCCAACGAAACTCTCACAGGACAGTCCTTGCTACCTTCAAATGATGATGAGCAAGGGACATTGTCCTATTGGTATAAAATTCGTTGTTGCAACTTTCCCTGGCCTTTTTCTCACTAATGAGGTTTTCTGTTTTCTTAAAACTTCTTCGTAAGCCCCCATAATTGTCTTGCGTGTGCTAAGAAAACAGTCCCCATAACTTTGAGCCATTGACCCAGCTGGTCCCCTTGGCAAACACTTTTCAGGCATCCTAATAAAACTAAGACAAGTGTATTCTTCAGATAAGTTGTTTGCCCCAAATCATAATTAGAAAATTATTTCAAGATAAGAAAACTTAAAAAAAAATTTTTTTTATTATCAGATTCACTTTGTATTACTAACAGATTAATCTGTATGAAAACTTTTGTAAAGCTATTAACAACTTTATTTACATTTAGTTATATAGTTAGTGAATTTTTTTTAATCGTTTTATTAGGGGCTCATACAACTCTTATCATAATCCATACATACATCAATTGTGTAAAGCACATTTGTACATTCATTGCCCTCATCATTCTCAAAACGTTCATTTCCTCTCCACTTAAGCTCCTGGCATTAGGTCCTCATTTTTCCCCTCCCTCCCCACTCCCCCCTCCCGCATGAGCCCTTGATAGTTTATAAATGGGTATTTTGTCATATCTTGCCCTGTCCAATGTCTCCCTTCACCCACTTCTCTGTTGTCTGTCTCCCAGGGAGGAGGTCACATATAGTTCCTTGTAATCGGTTCCCTCTTTCCAACCCACTTTCCCTCTACCCTCCCAGTATCGCCACTCACACACCACTGGTTCTGAAGGGATCATCCGCCCTGGATTCCCTGTGTTTCCATTTCCTATCTGTACAAGTGTACATCCTCTAGTCTAGCCAGACTTGCAAGGTAGAATTTGTATCATGATAGTGGGGGCGGGGAGGAAGCATTTAGGAACCAGAGGAAAGTTGTATTTTTCATCGTTGCTACATCGCACCCTAGTTAGTGAATTCTTAATAGCACATTGTAAATACAGTTTTTGTGGTAAAATTGGGTTCCTCGGCTGATATTCGGGTTGGCTTGTACTTGAGTATATAGGTATACTTTTTTCCTCATGGTATGTGATAATACTTAGACCCTTATTTCTGTTTCATTTGTCACAGCCTTATCAGACCCAAGCAGTAGACTTTCAACTTCACCCCCCCCTCCAGCAATTGCTGTGCCTTTGTTGGAAATGGGGTTTTCTCTCCGGCAGATTGCTAAAGCCATGGAAGCCACAGGTAGGATATGTTTTTCTGTATCAGTATATTCATATATACAGGAGGCTTGATAGTTCATTGAGTTAAGCATTTGGTTGGTAACCAAAAGGTCAGCAGTCCAAACCCACTAACGTTTTATTCAGTGAAGATGAAACTGTCTACTTCTATAAAGATTTATAGCCAAGGGTAGGGAGAAGGTTGGGGAGAGTGGGGAGGAAGGGGGATACCAATCGCAATGAATGGCACATAGCCACATACCCCCCTCCAGGGGGAAGAAGAACAGAAACCAGAGGGGAAGGGAGACAGCGGTCAGTGTGAGATAAGGAAATAATAACAATCTATAATCTATCAAGGGGTCACAAGGGTCAGGGGTGGAGGGAGGGAAGAAGAGCTGATCCCAAGGGCTCAATAGAAGGTAAATGTGTGGTAAAGAATGATGGCAATATATGCACAAATATTGTCTCATACAATTGATGTATGGATTGTAACAAGCTTTGTAAGAGCCCCCAATAAAATGATCTTTTTTTAAAAAAAAAAGTATGGGACGATTCTTGTCTGTCCTATATGGTTACTATGAGTCAGAACTGACTCAATGACAGTGGGTTTAGTTTATTTTTATATGCATGTTTGAAAAGTTTTATCTTATTAAAGGTCTTATTAGGAAAGCTTTTTAAGAGGCCATAAAGCTTGGTAAGATTTTCATTTTAATGCCAGATTCAATTATAAAGCCATAACAGCAGCCACTCTTCATTGATAGCATTAATAATAACTGCCCCAATTCAGCACTAGACCTTTTCCCTTCTGTTCAGGTGCTCGAGGAGAGGCTGATGCTCAGAACATCACTGTCCTTGCCATGTGGATGATAGAGCACCCTGGTCACGAGGATGAGGAAGAGCCACCGCAGGCAGGCAGCACGGCTGACCCCAGGCATGGAGCAGCAGTGCCCGGCAGTGGGAAGTCCAATGATCCCTGTTACTTACAGTCTCCAGGAGACATCCCATCAGCTGATGCTGCTGAAATAGAGGAGGGCTTCAGTGAAAGGTGAAATTCTAATTTTTGTTTTTCTTAAACGGTGGTCCCAGACGCTCCTTTCATTTCCCTCATAGATGCTTCTAAATAGTGTGTAAAGTTGATAACAATGGGTTCCTAGAAATGTGGGCATTTCGGTTGTAAATGTAGTTTTCTCTGGAGTGAAAATGACTTGACACGTTTTGACTTGACTGGTTTTTTACGTTAAATTTTGCTAAAGTAAAATTTAAATCTGAAATCTATTTTAAAACAAAATATATGCTGAAAATGTTTATGAAGGAGCATATTTCAATATAATGTAATATTAAAGAGTTAATCACACAATAAAAAATTGATTTAAAATATTTTTTTCCTCTTAATAGTTAATTTTATATTTTCTTTTTTTTTTTTTTTTTAATATTTTCTTCTTTTCTGTAGTTTTTAAACGTTCAACACAACAAACCTCCGTTTAAGGGATAAAAAAAATTCTGTGATGGCACCTAGCCTAAAGTGAGCTGTAATAAAATATTCTACAATTCCCTTTAAAACCTTTTCATTTTTAGCACTTCTTAGGATTTGGACCTTTGTTTTTCATTTTGACTATGATGAAATGTTACTACTAAGAGTTGTATCTTTAACAACAACAACAACAACAAAAAGCCTGTGTCTTATCCAACATGCAAAATTCCTCACATAGCCTCAGTGATTATTTTCATAACTTATTTTGAAATGTCTGGTTCTCTTAAGCAAGGAATCCAAAGTGCTGCAAATTGTGTTTAATCACTTAAGATATAGTTAAAGCCATATTTGACCTCATTTGAATTTGAACATGCATTGAGCATTATTTTCTTGCTGGCATAGTTCAAAAATGAGATAAAATTATTGCCCAAGGCACAGCCTATAATATAACAGGAATTTTATAAGGAACACAAGTTGGTTCATAATTTGTCCTCATATATCATATTCTCATTGACATTTGAAGGCAAAAGCAATACCATAAGTAAATTGCAACTAGATTTTGTTTACATGATCTCTTTAAAAGGATGTTTCTTTTAAACTTGTGTCCGTAGCCCCGACAATGTGGACCACACAGAGAATGCAGCTTCTGGAAGCGGACCGCCAGCTAGGGGCCGCTCAGCAGTAACAAGGAGGCATAAGTTTGATTTAGCTGCGCGCACATTATTGGCAAGAGCAGGTAATGATATGTTTCAAGTCATTTTTGGAGAGTGAAAGTATTGTATATTTTGTTTTTAAAGTCGATATAAAAACAGTATTCAAGAAAAAATGTAATAGTGATCCTGAGTACTCAGTCCTATCACGTTAACACAGTACCTGCTTGCATACCACTGTCTGCCCATTTACATAATTTTATTTAATTACACTGTACCTTCATAGATTCATTTCTAAGTTCCCTCTGGGTGCAGATGGCTTCACCAGTCACTAGTGGGTTTAGGGAAGTTTTATAACTGCTCTTACAACTTGTCATTTAGAAGTGATGGTGCATGTTTAAGTGGTGAGAAAAAAGTGGAAAAGGCACTGTGCTTAGAAGTACACCAGCTTTTGGTGTTCTCTGTGGACCTTAGGGCATCACTACTAGGTAATACTCAGCCAAAATGAAGGCCCTCATTACATTAGAAAATACTTCGAGGATTGTACTCTGGCTATAAAAAATGTTAAGTTATGGGGATTTTATTTTTTGAACCCAAAACCGGGACATCTGATTTGTCAGAATCATACATAATTAGTAATAATTTGTGAAAATGAATCATGATTTAATAAGTTATATTGAGAGAGAAATTGAGATTGTCTTGAAAAATACAGGACATGCCATATAATGAAAAGGGGCTGATTTTTAGAGCATAAACCCAAAAGAATAATAACTATTGAGTATTGTTTTATATACCAACCATTGTGAAGTATCTTATATCGATTTTCTTACTTGAACTCACCAACACTCAGGTATGATAGGAGCATTCTTAGTATTTTACAGATAAAGAAGCCCATGTCAGAGGCACAATGTGATGTGTGTGGTCTAGGACCCAATATGTCAGCTAAGAGAAACCACATGTGTGACTGTTAAAAAAAAATTGATAACATACTCAGACTTACTGTGTGTGTGCAAATAAAATGCATTTTGCCTTTTGTTCTGAGCGGGGTTATACCGCTCTGTGCAGGCCCACAGGAATCAAAGTCGGAGAGAAGGAATATCGTTGCAGCAAGACCCAGGAGCGTTGTATGACTTTAATTTAGACGAAGAATTGGAAATTGACCTTGATGATGAAGCGATGGAAGCCATGTTTGGACAGGACTTGAGCAGTGACAATGATATTCTGGGAATGTGGATCCCAGAGGTACTGGATTGGCCTACCTGGGTGTGTGTGACTGCAGCGGGGGCTGCTCTGACTTTTCCCTGCCTTCATACAGCTTACGGACCAGCCTTGCTTGAGTTCTAACGCTCTAAAAATCTTGCATCTCATCTTGAAGTTAGGAGATTTAATGTGTGCGGTTCCTTTGATACTTACAAACAGGAAAAGGTTTCTATTGGTGCACCTCTTTGTGATTTTATTATTTCTCGCCCCACACTTAATTGAATAGAGCTGTATTGTGGTACTATTTGATTCTGATGTCAGAGCTAGAGTACAAAATAGGCATCCCTATGGACTCTGCTGCTTATATAACGTGACTGCTTTGCCCACATTACCATCTGAAGGCATGCTCTTCTCCCTCTTAGGTTCCAGTGAGTCACTTTAATGCCTCATTTCCAGGAACTCATGCCCACATAGAGTTCATTTGACTAGTTGTGACCGTTGGTTTGACTCGGTGTGTGGTCCTGCGTCATCTTCACAGTCACTGCTGAGCTGAGTCCACCGCGGCATCCTCCGCCGTGTCAGGCCTTCTTTCCCGTTGACCCTGTGCTTTCCCCGGCACGATGCTCTTCTCTAGAGATTGATCTTACTCCTAATATGTCCCAAGTACATGAATGAGGGCTTGCCCGCCTTGCTTCCACAGAACACTCTAACTGTACTTCTTCCAACACAGGTTTGTTTGTTATGCTGACGGTCCTGTTGTATTCAGTGTGCTTCACCAATGCTGTCATCCAGATGTGTCATCTCTTTTGTGCTTCCTTATCCAGCTTCCGAGTGCATATGAGGTGATTGAAAATACCAGGGCATAGATCAGGTACATCTTAGTCCTCAAAGTGATTTCTTTGCTTCTTACCACTCTTTACCCAATGCAGTATGCCATTTTATTTCTTGACTGCTGCTGACATGGGCATTGGGTATGTAGTAAATTGGATTCTTTGACAACGTCAGTCTTTGCTCTATTTATGATGTTACTTATTGGTTCAATTGTCAGGATTTTTGTTTACTTTGTGTTGAAGTTTAATCCAGACTGAAGATTGTAGTCTGTGATCTTTATCAGTAAGTGATTCAAGTTCTCTTTGCTTCCATCAAGCCAGGTTATGTTATCTGCACATTGCAGGTCATTAATTCTTCTTCCAATCCTAATACCTTGTTCTTCTTCATATAGTCCAGTTCCTCAAATTATTTGCCCAGCATACAGGGAAAATTGAATTTCCAGATTAAATTAGTAGAAGAAAAGGTTACAAACCTGACACATCTTACCTGATCTTAACCATACGATAATCTCTTACATCCCCTGGTTGGTTCTACAACCAAGTTGCACACAAGCACAATTAAGTATTCTGAAATTCCCATTCTTTGCTATATTATTCACAATTTGTTATGATTCACTCAGTCAAATGCCTTTGTATAGTCAATAAAGCACGGTCTTTCTGGCGTTCTCTGCTTTCAGCTAAGGTTATTCTGACATCAATAATGATATTCTGCATTACGTAACCTCTTCTGAATCTGGCTTGAATTTCCAGTAGTTCTCTGATGATGTACAACTGTGATCTTTTAAAATTATTTTCAGCAAAATTTCACTTGCAAGTGATATTTAGTGACGTTGTTTGATAATTTTCACGTTCTATTGGGTTATTTTTCTCTGGAGTGGGCACAAATATGGATCTCTTCCTGTCAGTTAGCAAGTAGCTCTCTTCCAGATTTGTTGGCATGGATGAAAGACTTTTAGTTGGTATTCCATTAATTTCCAGAGCCTTGTTTTTCTTCATTGTCTTCAGTGCTGCTTGCACGTCTTCCTTCAGTATCAGCAGTTCTTGATATACTACCTTGATGTCCTTCTGAGATGGTTGAATGTAGACCAGTTCTTTTGACACAGTGATTCTTTATCCCTTGCATCTTCTCTGGATGCTTCATGTTTTGTTCCTTATTTTTCCCATAGAATCCTTCAGTATTGTAAACTCAAGCCTTGAATTTTTTTCTTCAATTCTTTCTTCTTGAAAAATGCCAAGTATACTCTACTCTTGGTTTTCTAACTCCAGGTCTTTATATATTTCATTACAATACTTCATCTTTTTTAGATGCCCTTTGAAATGTTCTTTTCATTTTTTTCTTCTCATTTGTGGCCGTCACTTTAGCTAATCTGTATGCTAAAGAGCGCATTTTATGGTCTCTTCTTAGTCTTTCCTTAGATGTCCCTTTCTTTTAAATGATTTTTTATTTCTTTATGTATGATGTCCTCCCACAATTCATCTGATGTTCAGTCATTAGTGGCTAAATGCATCAGATCTGATCTTGAGATGGTGTCTAAATCCAGGTGGAATGTCCTTCAGGTTGTACTCTGACTTTCATGGACTTGTTTTCATGTTCTTTGTTGTTGTTGGTTTCCTTTTCTTCAGTTTGCGCGCACATATGAGCAAGTGAGGATCTGTCCTGCAGTCAGCCTCTAGCCTTGTGCTTTTTGCTCTCTTTTCACTAGAGGATTTAAGAAAATCTTTATGAGGGAAGTCAGGTTGCCATTTGTATTAATACTTTTCTTAGTAAGGTAATTGGTTACAGTTATTGTCAATAGGGAGGACAAAGAACATAGTCAGATTGTGTGATTTGAATTCTGATTTGATAAAAATTTGCTATGTCCCATTCATGAACATTTTGAAAATATTCCATTATAATCAAACAAAATAATGTCATGTTCTGTTTACCTCTTCTTAATTTTATATTAACTTGACTGTAATAATTTGATATGAAATCATTTTGTGCAGCATGTTTGTGAGTCTGAAGACAGGGAAGAAGTGGTGGTGTGTGAGCTGTGTGAATGCAGTGTTGTCAGCTTCAATCAGCACATGAAGAGAAATCACCCAGGTTGCGGACGAAGTGCAAACCGGCAAGGTTATCGCAGCAATGGCTCCTATGTGGATGGCTGGTTCGGTGGTGAATGTGGGAGTGGGAATCCATACTACCTGCTCTGTGGCAGCTGCAGGGAGAAGTACTTAGCCCTGAAGACCAAATCCAAGGCAACAAGTTCTGAAAGGTAACTGGAAAGCATATAGATTTCCAGACACTATTAATGAAGTGTATAGAGTATCTTATCTTTTAAGGCATGAGACCCTAGCTTTCCTTTTGTGACAAATTACTTTTGATTTTCCCAAAAGTCCCATCAGAATTGGGAACAGGAAGTATGAAAAGGATTGAGGAATTCCTGTAGCCTATCAGAATCTCTCGAGAGTCCAGGGAGAGTGAGGGCTGTGAACATGGATCATCTACTAGGGTTGGATTGGGTTGAACTTTGTCTTGGTGGCAAGTTTTGATCAGAGCCTTCAGAAGCTGTGATCAATTCATGGCTCTTCTTAACCAGATTGCTGCTATCTTAAGACCTTTTTTCTTCATGGAAAACAGATTTTTTTTTTTTGTTTAATAAGCTTTTATGAAACATATCACTTCACATCATTGAATAGTAGTTTCTAGCGAACAGGTTGTTTTGCCCTAATAACTATTACAAGCTTTAAGGCTTTCTGATGAGATTGAGCACCTTCAGGGTAATATGGCTATAAACTTTTTTTTTTAATCATTTTATTGGGGGCTCTACAACTCATCACAATTCATACATAACATCAATTGTATAAAGCACATTTGTACATTCATTACCCTCATCATTCTTCAAACATTTGCTCTCCATGTAAGCCCCTGGCATCAGCTCCTCATTTTTCCCCCTCCCTCCCTGCTCCCGCCCTCCCTCATGAACCCTTGATACATGAACCCTTGATAATGTGTAAATTATTATTTTGTCATATCTTACACTGTCCGACGTCTCCCTTTACCCACTTTTCTGTTGTACATCCGCCAGGGAGGAGGTTATATGTAGATCCTTGTAATTGGTCCCCCCCCCCCCCTCTACTGGCTATAAATTCTTTAAGGATTCCTAAGTTTGATTTTTATTAAAAGAGTTGCAGGTAACCCATAAAAATCCCCAATATTTTGGCAAAGTAGTCAATTGATTTTGTAACTATGTTTGTGTCTGTATACCAGCAATTTGTATTAAACGAGTCTATAGCATTAAACAAACTTTCAGATTTTGTGTTGCTTTATTAATGACCTTTTGAAATACTTGAATGACTTAATTTGCATTTTTGGTACTATTTTATATAAAAATACAATGTTCTTCATGTTTTGTGTAGGTACAAGGGACAAGCTCCAGATCTGATTGGCAAGCAGGACAGTGTGTATGAAGGTAGTTGTTGTTTTGAGAGCTTCTTTATTTTACATGTATTTTTTAATATGTACCTCTGCTTAACATGTCCTAAAATTTACCTTCGTGTGTGTGTGTGTGTGTGTGTGTGTGTGTGTGTGTGTGCGCGCGCATTAATTAAACTCCCTCTATCATTACCACATTCAAGCTTAAGGTAGTTTAAGATATAGCAGCACCCCTGGTTTGAAGTCAAAGGAAAAGTTCATAGGTTTAAACACTAGCATTACTACAGAGTGTAAGTTTCTGTTTGGCAGATTTTTTTTTTCTTCAAAGTAGGGAAAGTACATTTTGAATTTTTATTAAGTGAAGAAAGTAAAAAAATAAAATAAAACATTAATATAAAAATCAGTTTATCTGGAGCATTCATTTACACGAGGAAGCTCATTTCCTAGTGATATTGACACATCTAGTATTGTTAGTTGAAGCCGCCATTACCAGCTGTGAAGTTTGCCATTACTTTGAATAGATTTGCCTGCGCCAGCTGACTTTTACCTTAATCTTGCTATGCCTCAGGTCTGCAGTTTCCTTAGACCACCAGGAGATGGTGTTGTAGCTCATTTTTGTAGATACTGTAGTCTGTGTATCTTAGGTCTCACAATAACCAACCATTACCAGTAAAGGTATGTTGTATTTATATTCATATGCCATGTTTGTTTGTTTTTTTAATTCTAGAAGATTGGGACATGTTGGATGTTGATGAAGATGAAAAGCTAACAGGTGAAGAAGAATTTGAACTGCTTGCTGGGCCGCTTGGTTTAAACGACCGGCGCATTGTACCAGAACCAGTTCAGTTCCCTGATAGTGATCCTCTGGGCGCATCAGTAGCCATGGTCACAGCCACAAACAGTATGGAAGAGACTCTGATGCAAATAGGTAAACTCAAATGCTGATGATGTGGATTTGCATCTATTTTGATAGTTTCTCTCAAGTTTGCTTAAGTTTGGATTTTTAAAAAATAAAAATATTGTAACAATTTTTTTTAAACATTCTATTAGGGGCTCATACAACTGTTATCGCAATCCATACACACATCAATTGTGTAAAGCGCATTTGTACATCATTCTTAAAACATTTTCTCTCCACTTAAACCCCCGACATTAGGTCCTCATATATTGTAACAATTTAAAATGTATCAGTGTGAGTAAAATTTTTGCTTTATTTAGCTTTGTGTCAAGAAAATTCTAGAATTACTAAGAACTGTTCTGTACTCTTTTTTATTTGGATGAGAGCGTATGGTACCTTTCTGTCACTGGGATGCAAGATAAAGAATTGAGGCAGAATATATATCAAAAGCATGATGTATATCTGCTTTCGTATTCAGAAGCATACTTTAAATGTTATTTTAATTTCTGTATTTCATAACTCACTGCCATCGAGATGATGCTGACTCATAGTGACCCTGTGGGACAGAGCAGAACTGCTCCTCTGGGTTTCTGAAACAGAAATTCTTTGCAGGAATAGAAAGCCTCATCTTGGTGGGTTCAAACTACTGACCTTGTGGTTAGCAGCCCAACTTGTAACTCACTATGCTGCCAGGGCTCCATTTTGTATTTCTTAATATTCATTAATTAGAAATAATTAATGAGCAAGATTAATTATTTAAAAGAAAATTTATAGGTAGTCCCCAACTTAGGATGTATTCTAGTTATGCCATACCACACTTATGACCATCAGTTTATTTTAAAAATCTTTTCATAAGTAATATGTACTACCATACAATGTTAGAATAAACCTGTAAGTTGTGGATGATGTTTTAAACCCTTTAAGACAAAGTTTGGGTTTATAAAGCTCCTGATAATGCATAGCAGTCATAATGAAAACTTTTTAAAATGAGGTATCTTAACTTGTGCTAGTGATTACTCACAACAGCGTCCTTGCCACAGAACTCATCATAAATTGGAGACTACCTGATATAGATGACTGACTTAGAAATAACCATTTCAAGAAGTTTTCTGTGTATCAAACTCTCAGATGAGCAGAACACATTGGACAGACCCTCTGATTTGCAGTGGGTTTGCATCCTGCATTGTATTATTGTGAGCAATATGTCTTTACAGCACTGAGCCTTGGTAAAATGGAGAAGTTCTCCAGTAGTGTGGTTTACTGAATACTAAACAAAGTCTTTCTACTTTGCAGGTTGCCAGGGCTCTGTAGAGAAGAACTCCTCTGGGAGGATAACTCTGGGTGAACAGGCAGCTGCGCTCGCAAGCCCTCATGACCGAGTAGTTGCTTTAAGGAGGGTGACTGCGGCTGCTCAAGTGCTACTGGCCAGAACCATGGTCATGAGAGCACTGTCTCTCCTCTCAGTCAGGTAAGATTGCCAAATGACGCTGAGTCAGCTTCTGGTGTGTAGTATCTATAAGTCTGGTAGTGTGTAGCCTTTAGAAGGACAAGATAGGATTTTCAGAAATGTTGAAAATATACTATCTATATGATGTTCGACATTGTCATCCCTGTCATTCATTCAGTTAATAGGAGAAGGGCTGCATAAAGTCTGTGAGGAAATAGTCCCTGGGAAAAATAATGGAATTTTCCCATAACTTTTAAAGCCCTCTCATGCTTGTTTCTTTCTAGGTAGAGAATAATGTCATTAAAATAACTGAGTAAACTGCTTATGTTTAATTTTGTGATATGAAATAGGAAACTAAGGCTATTGATCCATTTAGACAAAAAAGCTTAAGTTTTCCTGTAGCCTTACTTAACCAGCTATCTAGCTGAATCAGCCTACAAATTCTGTTACAGGGTCTTTGTCATGTCTGTAACGTGTGATGTAAAAATCATAAGGGAACCAAGATTACTTAAAGCACACCGTATTTCAGAAATGACTAAGCTGTGGTATTTAATGCCAAATCAGTCATGGCAGGAAGAGTCTACAGGAAAAGAATCAGAATAAACTTTAGATAGACAGATAGAACAAATAGTCCAGAAACTGGCCCACGCGTATGCAGACACTTGCCTTTTGATAGCAGTTAACAGAGCAGTGGGGTTGGGCAGCCTTCAGGAACTGGCACTGGGTCAGATGACTGTCTATATGGGAGTGGCGAAAAAGAGAATTTTGCTCCCAACTTCATATTATATGAAGGGCTTTCAAAAAGTTCATAGGATAATGGAATTTTCTGTGAACCTTTTTAACTCACCGCCGCCCCTCCCCCCACCATAAACCATATAAAACAAATAATTTCAGGTGCACTCTAGACTCACATGTGAAAATGTCAATCAAGTAGAAGAATATACTCATGACTTTGGGATGGACAGAGATTTTTTAAGTTATAAAAAATTTATAGACTAGATTAAACAATTTTTGTTCACCCAGAGTCACCATGAAGAAAAGTGGAGGAAGGAAGAAAAGGGAAAGCTAGGGTGGACTATGTTAACAGTGTGGATAACCAACAGGGTATGCATAGCACCCACATCAGTCAGTCAGAAAAAGATGACCCAAGGGAAACAGAAAATGGGCAAAGTGATCAACCACATTAGTCTTCGGAAAAATGAAATTCAAAACCATAGCAAAAAACGACTAAACATCTACCAGATGGTTAAAATTTAAAAGACAGAAAGAAATAAAAAGAAAGACCATCAAACATAGAACAACTGAGATGCTGCTAGTAAGAAAATTAATTGGGACAATTACTTTGGAAAACGGTTTGATTGCAACAACTGAAGCTGAACGACAAATACACTGTGATCCAGAAATTCACTCTGGGCTTACATTCAACAGAAAATGCTTACATATATGTGCCGAAAAGCATACATCAGAGTATGAATGGCAGAATTCTTCATTATAATCTCAAACTGGAAATCACCCAATTTTTAGCTGTTGAATGTTTGACCAAACTGTAGTAAATTTCATTTTTGCATCAATGAAAATGAATAGCTTTTGAAATGAATAGTTACAATGTAACTGTGGCATTGATGTTTCAGTGGTCGAATCTCACCTTCCATCTGGGAGTCCTAGGTCCAATTCCCAGCCCATGCACCTTATAAGCAGTTACAAATTTGCTGTCAGTGGTGCAGTGTATATTGCCAACATTCTGAACAGGTTTCAGCAAAGCCTCCAAGCCAAGCAAAGGCACTTGGAAGAAAGGCCTGCCAGTCTGAAAATCAGCCAGTGAACACGTGGCTGACAGTCGTTCAATCTACAACTGGCCATGGGTTCAAGCAGTGTCTCATTCTGTCGTGTATAAGATTTCCATGAGTCAGGAGCCAACTGGACAACAACCATAACATGATGCAGAAACATGAATGACTTACAAACATAATGAGGAGGGAAAGAAACCAGTAACAAAAAATACAAAGTTCAAAGGCAGGCAAAACGAATTCGTGGCTGGAGATGAAGAGAGTGTTTACTTTGGGAGGCATAGTGACTGAGAAGGGGGGTCCCTTGGTGGACTTCCGGGGAGCTGGTCATGTTCTGGTTCTTGATCTGAGGGTGATTACACAGATTTCTAGTTTGTGAAAAATTCATGGTAGATGAACCTTTCTGTATATTGTACGTTGGTAACTCAGCTATGCTTCAAGTACAGCTATTTCTAATAGTGAAAAAGGTTTTGGAAGCAGCTTCCAGTTTGCGTAATCTTTTTGGCATTTTTTTATAGGGCATGTTGTGATTTTTATCCTGGTGGGTTTCACTTTGGGTGGTATGTCAGGATCCAAGTGTTCTCCTTAGAAGTCCATTTCCTTCCTCCTCTAAAGTGCTTTCCTTTCCCAACAGTGGCTCCAGTTGCAGCCTGGCTGCTGGTCTTGAGTCTCTGGGGCTAACAGACATCCGAACACTGGTGCGATTAATGTGCCTGGCTGCAGCGGGGAGAGCTGGCCTCTCCACCAGCCCCTCTGCCATGGTGAGCACCTCAGAACGCTCCCGAGGCGGGCACAGCAAGACCAACAAGCCCATCTCTTGCTTGGCCTATCTGAGCACGGCAGTGGGCTGCCTGGCATCTAACACCCCGAGTGCCGCAAAACTGCTTGTGCAGTTGTGTACACAGGTAAGCCCACTGGGTGCCTTTTCTGAGGCCTTGCTTATTTTCGGCTGATTCTCAAAGAGCGTCTTGAACTGAAATCATCTTTTTGTTGCAAAATTATGCGTAAAAAAAGTAAACCTTTTTGTTCAATTGCCTCTTCAGAACTTGATTTCTGCTGCAACAGGTGTAAATCTAACCACGGTTGATGATCCAATTCAACGAAAGTTTCTACCCAGCTTTCTTCGAGGAATTGCTGAAGAAAATAAGCTTGTGACCTCCCCCAACTTTGTCGTAACTCAGGCCCTTGTGGCATTACTAGCTGACAAAGGGGCCAAACTGAGACCTAACTACGATAAGGCAGAAGTTGAAAAGAAAGGTCAGTTTCATATGATTTTAATTAACTTGATGCATATTTTTTTAAATGGATGTTTTTTCATTGCTGTATCTGATGAACTGCATAGCATGTTTAGATCATATATGTTTAAATCATAAAAGAAGTACATGTCTACATTTTCTGTGTGCGTGGAAACAAATACTAGAAAATGTGCTAAGTTAGTCTCATTACAGATTATGGCTTGAAACATCAGATATTCATCCTGAATATTTCATAATTTTTCTTAATAAAACTTAGGTAGAGTGTTATTTTTTTCATTGTCTTAAAATGAAAGCACTTTGAAGGGGCTGCTTAATCACTGCTGCCGACCCTTCTCCATCAGGGTCATTTCACCTACAGTGATCTTAGGAGCCAGACAAGGACCTGGATTGATGGATCTAAAAGCCCCAACTCACTTCCCGCCCCCGCCCCCGCCCCCACAATTAAAAAATAATAATTTTATTGGCTCATACAACTCTCATCACAATCCATACATACATCAATTGTGTCAAGCACATTTGTACATTCATTGCCCTCATCCTCAAAATATTTGCTCTTCACTTAAATGCTTGGTATCAGGTCCTCATTTTTTTCCCTTTATTCCCCCCCTCCCTCATGAACCCTGGATAACTTAAAAATTATTATTATTTTGTCATGTCTCAAAATCACTTTTCAGCAGCAAAAGCCAAACTTGTGTTCTTAAGGGTCTTGCAGCCTGTCTTGCCTTAAAATGGTGGCTGCTGCCTTTATGGTGAACGGTGTACTTAGAGCAGTGGTTCTCAACCTGTGGGTTACAACCCCTTTGGGGACGAATGACCCTTTCACAGGGGTCGCCCAATTCATAACAGTAGCAAAATTACAGTTATAAAGTAGCAACGAAAATAACTTTTTGGTTGGGGGGGTAACCACATGAGGAACTGTATTAAAGGGCAGCGGCATTAGGAAGGTTGAGAACCACTGACTGAGAGCAAAGACTATTGTTGATGTGTATAAAAAGTGCATTGTCAAAGAATCAGATTTATTTTAGAATTTGATGTGAAATGAATGTTTTATGCCTTGGATACATACTTTAGTGAATGATTGTGATTGTAGAAAATATGGGTTAACCCATTTGGTTTGTTTACCACCACCAGCTTCTCACCTGGGCATCGTTTCATTGTTTTGTTTAAGCAGGTTTAATTGCCCAATTGTATGCCCATCCCTCCTATGATCCTTCTGCTGTAGGCCCTCTGGAGCTGGCTAATGCCCTGGCAGCCTGCTGCCTCTCCTCGAGGCTGTCCTCACAGCATAGGCAATGGGCTGCTCAACAGCTTGTGCGCACGCTAGCCGCTCATGACCGAGACAACCAAACTGCTCCACAAACACTCGCTGACATGGGCGGAGATCTCCGAAAATGTTCCTTTATCAAGTTGGAGGCTCATCAGAACAGAGTATGTATTCTGACCCAGATGTGTCCCTCATCTTATGGTTTGCTGAAGTGGTGCTGTCTCTCTCTCTGACTAAACTACCAATTTTAGTGGTTTGCTGGTAATTCCCACTTCTCTCTCTGTATGCTGGGTTAACCTAATAGTAAGCAAATGAGAAAGTGAGATGGAAGATAAAAAAAACAAAAGAATAGCCTCGTTGTTTTCATTTGGGCCCCTGATCAGTGCTGAGGGCAGTGTAGGAAATGAAGACTAACTTCCGTTACTTAAATGGTATTAAAATCACTTCTTAGCCTCTTTTATTTACTTTTTAGAACAAAAAAAAATACTACAGTATTCTAGCATATTGCTTTAACATGTCAATATTTTAACAGTGTTCAGCTAAGAGTTTGAGCGTGGTACTTTAAAACTACACTTCAAATAAATATATAAAGAGAATTCCAAAAGTGTGAGGAAAACACCATTATCTTTTTTTCACCAACTTTGTGAAGTGTGTCCCCCACCCATCCCCCCACTCCCTCTGCCCTTTAGACTTAATCCTAGAAACTTGGCAGGACAGGGTGCAACTACCCCTGCAGATTTCCTACGCTAAGTCTTCATGGGACTAGAAAGCCTCATCTTTTTTTCATGAGGGTGGCTGGTAGTTTTGAACTGCTGATGTTGAAGTGAGCAGCATGAACATAATCCACTACATCAGAGTCCCAATCAATTCAATGGCAATGAGTTTGTTTGTTTGTTTGTTTGTTTGTTTGTTTATTTGTTTTGAGGGAGTTGTTTGAATGAGTCCAAGTATGTTGCATCATAATACAGATACTTTTATCCCCCAACTTGATAGAATATGGGAGTCTGATTTCATCACTAGAATAAAAACATATTTAAATCTTGCTGGGTGCGTCCTTTCCACTTTTCTAGGTAATGACATGTGTTTGGTGTAATAAAAAAGGTCTCCTTGCCACCAGTGGCAACGACGGTACCATCCGAGTGTGGAATGTCTCCAAGAAGCAGTACTCATTGCAACAGACCTGTGTGTTCAACAGATTGTGAGTCCTACGCTGGCCCTGGGATATGCCTCATCTTGCTTGTGTCACATATTTCTCTTAGAATATTCTTACTATATCTGTAATGCGCAGTTTAGGACATTACTTCTAATTATATTATTATTCAGTGTGTATTAGAGTCAAGTCAAGGTTTGCTAGCAAATGTCCAGTTAGATAGCTAGTTATAGCTGGCTAATTTTCCTTTGGTTTTAAGAACTGTATAGGAATCAAAGCAATTATATTACTTTTGGTCATCATTCCTTATAGATTTATGGTCAGCTGTAAGAAATATTTTCCTGAGGTCTTCCTGCAAATTAAGCAGACAGGAGTCAATATACTTGAATGATGAATGATACATTATGATAAACATTGACAAATGTATGCTTGTCACATACTTACCACGATCCAAGCTTTTCAAGTTAGGTTTGCTATTAGGTTCTCTAGTTTAAATGAACCCTTATTTTAAGGGTTGCAGTTAGCTTACTTTTGGGTGGTAGGGATTAGAATTGCATGTGTATCTTTTATATTCTAGGGAAGGAGATGCTGAGGAAAGCCTGGGGTCTCCCAGTGATCCAAGTTTCTCACCTGTCTCTTGGAGTATCAGTGGCAAATATCTAGCTGGGGCTTTGGAAAAGATGGTGAATATCTGGCAAGTTAATGGTAAGAGCAAAGTAAATTCTTGAAAACTGGGGTGTACTTCAAAAATTGCTGTTTGCCCTGCCTTTCTCTTAGTTATCGGAGTGCAAACAGCCACTTCTCCTTACCTTAACACTCACTAGCTGGTCACAACCATGGAAATGCATGGGCAGTATGGTTTAGGTTAGAGATGCTCATTTCTTGACTTCCAGGGGTTTAGACTCACCCAGTAGTTGTAAGCCAAAACCTATTTTCATGTCCTACTAGGTTCAGATTAAAGTTTGAGGAGAAGTAGTGGTCAGTGAATTTGAAGCCATGTGTTTTGAATTGCTCTAAATTAGTTTGTTTCTTTTCTTTAAAAAAATTTTTTTTAATTCGTTTATTTCACAGATATAAACTTGTTGCAATTTTTTATTATACCTCTCTGGAAAATGAAAAGAACATTTCTGTTACCTTGTGCTTTTATTTATTTTTACTTATTTGAGCAGTAGCTAGCTTTAATTACAGATAAATTTCCCATTTTACTTTGGTTTCCAGAAGTTATAAAGAGAGGATTTACGTGTTTGGCATTTATGCATGAGTGCTTCCTTTATTCTCTTCCCTGTAAAGCTACCACTTCTGTCCTGTTAATAGTTACAGGAGGGGACTGGCTCCATGGTCAAATGTTCGCGAGGAGCGGTGGTACAATGACAGGAAAAGAGGGACAGAAAGAGTTGGCCACAGGGGCTCACCTTTCCTGATGTCAGCATCCAGACAGCGAATGCATTTTCCAGTGTAGTTGGGGCTTGCAAACATCCAGCAGGCACGGACGTAATAGGGTGGGCGGGTACTAGAATGAGTCAGTGGCTCAACCTTGGATATCCCTGAGCTCCCTCCAGGGGAGCAATCAGCATCAGAAGGGAGTTAGCTGCATTTTGGGTGGGATGGGCAATGGAATCTCATCATTCTTTGAGACAGATAGCCTCTGGGTGCATAGTGAGCAGAAGAAGACATCTTTTATGGGGGACATAGTGGAGGCGATTGTCATCTCTATCTCATAACTGTGGGAGCCTTCCCCCACTTGAGTTGGCTTTCCAAACCCTGTGATAATGAGCATCGAGAATTTGGCTGCTTACATTTCCGCCCAGTCCCTCAGTATTCCACAGTTACAGAAGTCCTACTAATTGATAGTTATGTGTACATGTAAATGAAGGGTCCTGAGTTCTTGGTCTTTTTTTTATTTTAATCGTTTTATTAGGGTCACATACAACTCTTAACACAATCCATACATATATCAATTGTGTAAAGCGCATTTGTACATTCATTGCCCTCATCATTCTCAAAACATTTGCTCGGCAC